ACGCTGCAACTCGATACCGCCTCCGACATCACAATCATTTCCAAAGATACGTGGAAAATAATGGGTAGACCCCCCTTCAACCCCACAAAAGTCCATTGCTGATTCACCAACAGATTCATTATCAACTCCAAAAGGCTAACAATAGGTAATCTAGGAAGTTGTGCGGAAGGGTGCAAAGTTAGTGCAAGCCTAATCTCTCCAAAACCGTACAAGTAGAGACGTTACAATGAGTTCCGGCTTGAAATTATATTTAGCGAGACACGAGTATTTCACTGTTGTCGAAATCCTCTTATATACTGTTGGTTTTAAGATTTTTCCCGCCAAGTTTGGATTGTTTTAACCTCTCATCAACCTAGAAATCACCCGGTATTTAAGGTACTATTTCCGTCTGGATAAGTCAAGTTTGCTTGTTGAATTCAAACAGTTATTTGTGATATGAAATGGTTTTATCGTGGGAGGCGAATGAAACTCCCGGTTATAATGTTCGGCAAAGCAGCGCAGAGGCCACCAGAGGGTTCGTTATAACATATGATTTAACAAGATCCTAAAAAGTTGAATTTTTCTTCAGTCGAATGAGTAGTATATAGCATTATGCTTTAAATTATGTTTGTAATGGACACGCGATTGTTTTTTCACATCGCAACTGTAGTAAAGACCTACTGAGAATACATGGGCCTGCTCGGTCTTGTTAGGGTTGTCTTCCATTGACACTGGCTACAACAAGCGGGCCAACCAAGTCCCCCATTAGGGAGTAGTCACATTCGTGGCTTCGTTATGTCGTGTTATGATTCGATAACGACAGACAGAGAAAGATAGCGTGATTAGCTTTTGCTACGGACAGCTCAAGTCTGTTTGACTCGAATTCCCACCATTTTCATCTACACACAAGAAACACCGCAAATCGGTGAGGCGTGAGATTGCCCGCAGGCCATTCGGGCACTCCGCCACACTTGAATTCACAATCTACTCTATGATGATTGTCCGCAGTTAAACGAAGCCAAATCTTTGACACGTTTCTCGTCGGATGACAGAGAGGTCTGGTGGCATCCCCAACTGTCTGTCCCACTTTGGAAGTGTTGCACACGAACGGAAAAAAATAACCACGCCAGACGGTCACAGTGGTTTTCTGCACGACTGAATATCAATTATCGAAACAACTCTGGTGGGAAACAAAAGCCCATTTATCCTTGCCTGTTGCGTGCTCAAGTGAAACGAGGGCAATTTAGGGCAAGGTCTTATCCTGTGTGCTTGATCTTTTCAGTTCAAATCGACTGAAAATCCGAATTCACTTGATAGATAGCGTGACGTTTTGATTTCCCAAACAAAACCTCTAACGAAGCTAAATCTTATGCTGAAAAATTCGCTTCCCACTTGCAGTACTTGTGATCTTCTTCACCTGTTATACTCAACTGGCGACCATGGCAAACTGGATGATCTGATCAGCAGTGGCTGGTCAACGCTAGAACACATCTCTCTTTAGCCTTTTGAAATTCGTAGTCACATAATTATTAGCCCACCAATAATTCTTCATAGCTAAGTTAATGACAAGCAATTCGATGTATGATTAGTTTACAAATTCTTCCGAGGATATTCTTTTGCATCCATCGGGACAGCGTTGAAATAGTACCCTCTGTTCTAGCTAGACGAAGTCTAGTACCTAGGGGTTTCTTATCACAAAGCTCATCCAGGTCCATTGACTACTGAAACCAAAGTACATAATCATCATCGACAGCAAAACAATAGTGCTCACCACTGATGCTTTGCTGCCACACATGGTTACACGTGGACTAGATCCAGGGGCAAGATACCTCAGTGATTAGAGCGTGAATTTACTGACGGGAAGGTCCGTGGTTCGAACCCGACCTCAGCCTCTCGACTTCCCTGTCTAGGCTTGGGCAACCTGGCAGTACCGCAGCCCTCATGCTTCCTTTGGGTGGTATGGCAGCTAGGCACCGAAAGAGTGCATTACCATTTTTATGGAACAAGTCGCCACACATGTGCTGGCCCCCAACCTTGAGGTTTAGGAGACTGTGTTGGTCCGGTCTCCAACCATTGAGCAACCTGATGTGCAAGACTCATGAACATAGCAAGTATGGCTCAGCGGGTCGCGGAGGTGCACGAACTACCGCACTAGTCTCTTCGTGAGCAAAACACACTGTTTCCTGGCTTTTTGGCTGACTAAATTGTCAAGTTGGCCACTTCGACATAACTGGAACGCGAGGCGAATTCTCTCTTTTCAGGCGACCCACCCATTCATCATTCTTCGTTAAACGATACCGAAAAAATTGTATTCCACAACTCATTTGTTGGATGAATGACCCGGATGTTTTTATCGTGCCGAGTGTGTCAGATACCCCCATGAAAAAAAATATGATGGATGGGCAACTGGTCCCACGAATTCAAGAGGATATCCTTCTCGGATTTGTAGATTTGGTGTATGCGTGTATGAAACGCTGTGGTACTTGGAAGTTCTACGGGGTGATATGGATGATGGGGCAATTCTCATCAAAAAAATCATACCACTGTACACAAAGATGATGAATGATTGGTAGGTCAGTATGCGTGCCCACTGCTGAACATGTGAACAACAACTGGCTTGAATCGGTGACATCCTTGCACTGCTTTCATCCAGTATAATACCGTTTGGAGATGCATTTTAGGCCATTCTTCCCACAAATATCGCGTGCTTGTATGTTCACCAAAGGACCACTTCATGGCAGGGAGCGGTGGGCCCTCGTTGAGCAGGATATACATGGGTCCTGCCAAGGTTACCGTTTTGAGGAATAGCTCCCCCTAAAGAGGAGTAGGCCTCCTGAATCTTTAGCAGGTTTCATATCAATGTATCCAGAGATGTCTATTCAGTTACTGAGGTATGGCTGAGCGCTATCGGCTTTACTGACCACATTGCTTAATGAGGACTTAATGAGTCATAATGAACTGAGGGCAAACAGTCGTCCGCATCAAATGATAGTGACAATCAGTACAGTGGTAAAGATCCGGTCAACCACATCCTGCCAGTTGATCCCTAAGCTGACAACTGTAAACTATTGGTAGAAGTGTACACACCAACAGCGTGGACCAATTCGGATATACCCTAGCTGCTGCTATCGTAAAATTGCGAACTTTGCTCAAAAACACTGTTCCGATCCAATGTTCCCTCGCTTAACCGGTGACCAATGCTCAGTGGTTGGCTAAAGCGGCCCATGTGGATGGACGGAGCTCTCAGAAAAAAACCGGTTAAAACGGCAGTTGCTAACTTGACCTTGGCTTTGAGGTGACAGGAAATCGAAGCTGAGTATCATTAAGATGTATTGTCGGAGCACAGGTTGTTAAAAACAGCTTGGCCTAATTCACTGTTGATTCGTACTCATTCGGGCGATTCAGTGGAACTAGTTAGGACAATTCATTCAGTGTCCGTTGCTAGGTGGAACCCAGACATATCTACATAGTCATTGAATGAAAGTTTTGTGATCTACTCAGGTCGCATTTTGTTAACCTGATCGATGAAAGTCATTCACAGTGAGCACTGTTTGCAAAAGCTCAGTTCACGTACAGTATTCTCAAGCTGTCAGTTTCTTCTAAACAGGATTTGGTCCTGACAGTGTGAGACCGAAGGGAATGGAGAATTTCTCTCTGAGGACAAACACAGTAGTTCAGATTGTATGAATTTAGAAAAGTGACAAAAGATTACAGACTCCTTGATATGCTACTAGTTGTAAGTTGGAGTAAAACCGTCGGACAACCCATCGTTGACTTGGCTTTTTTCGGCCCTTTAGGGTCCTCTGGGCTCCATGGATCATTTTTCTAACACGATGTTAAAGGTGGTTGAGATTTCTCGAGACTACACTGAAGGATTTCAATCTTTTTGAAGCCCATTAAGTAGGCGTAGTCTTGAAGTTTCTATCAACCGTATAATCCACTTAAATAACAAATGCCGAGAAATGTTCAGGTAGGAAATAAATAAATAAATAAAGTTGGGCCCTAAAAAGGACGAAACGGGTAGTGAACTGTCGAGGGGTCATTAGCAGCCCTATGAATATTGAGTTCTGTCAGGAAAGTGTACTACAATGCTTTGAATATCTGACCCAGTGGAGCGCATCCAGTTGAAGAATATCATAAACGGGAGACTCAGCTGGGATTCAGTTGAATTTCCCGTTAAAATCAACTTAGTTTGCAAACGGGTGTATTGCGCCAATCTTTTTTCGAACGTGACCATTCATTTGGATGTGTGTGTGTGTGTGTTAATTAGGATCATATGAAAAGAAAATAATTCGATCTCTTACTGATTGTTACCAGGGTGGTCCAGGCAAGCTGTACGCAGTTGAAGTTCAAGTCAGTCTTCTGTCAACAACAAAGGAACCGACAAATTAGCAATTATGTTCACATGAGTTTCGGCTGCGGTACCAGTCGCTAGTCGACTTACATAGCTCACCATCAGCTGCAACAAACTCCTTTGCAAATGTTCAACATTGGAGCTGCTATAGGCTGTGATTGGGGCACATTGCTCGACTCGGATTGCTTTCATTGCAGTTTGAAAGTAACGTGATTGGAGGTGGTTAAATCGCAAACTTACTGACCAGAAGTTTCATGGTCCTCTCAGCTGTCCCTGTCTAGGTTTAGGTGACTTGCCAGTATCCCAACCTTGAGCTTCCTTCGGGTGGCATGGCAGCTAGCTATGCGCCGAAAGGGTATTACAGCTGGACGTTTTAGGGACACACTCATACTTCGTCGCCACTGCGCTTGTCCAACAGTGAGGCGAAATATGGCTTGACAGCTTGTCGCTGCCTACTGGAACTTGCCTCTCACATTTGAGAAGACCTATTGCTCTTCAGTTCTTCGGGGCATTTAGGTCATCGCCAAGGTCCTGTGCATGTAGCAAGTATGAAGGCTCGTTCGATAATTCCCAACAAGGATAAAGTGAACTGTTTTAAAAGAAATCAAGAACTTAAATACAAGGTCCTATCATTCACTCATTCAATAAAGGAAAGTCAACAGATGGTTTAATTATCGGTAATCTCTATATGGACAAATGATTGAACTGTCACACATGTACATAGAAAGTTGGGATCCGGCACACACAGAGCTGCTTTTTCAGGCAACATGCTGTATTCTCTAGGGGAATTTTGGCATGTGTGGATGGAACTGCAACAGATATCACTCACAATGACGTAATGCACGAACTTTTCGACCGCAAACATAGCAGTGTGATTGGAGCAGACATGGTTTCGGAAGACACCGAACAGCACCCAGGTTTCCGAAATTAATTGGGACGTTTTAAATGCTTTTCGTAAGTACGTGACGTAAGTTTGTGTCTACATCTTGAGTGAGTTCTCCGGATTTTCAGTCTTCTCACAGACTGATGACCGAATCATACCGGTTTAACGTGCTAAACCTATTGCATGGTTATTGGGTCCCCACATCTAGATCGTATGCAAACAATTGATTATTCAGCCAGTGATAAAAAGGGTGTTTCCGAATGCAACATCAACTGAGACAACGGTATTCATCACGATCCCGATAAAAGTCAGGTTGTAGTAAGTTTCTTCTTCCCTGTTCCTACTTCAGCCACCTTCGATCTGCATTGTAGCGCCGGCATACACTTCCGCAAAAGATTCTGTGTTGTTGCCGAACTGTAAGCCAAGTCTGGTTGAATTCAATCAGAAGTTTAGAGTAAGGGACAGCTGGCGAGGGGCATTTTCGTCGTTGGGAGAAAATCTTCCATAACGGTAGCCAAAGCATCATCTCAGATTTCAGGGATTGGTTTTGTGGAACACAGATTAAAGTAGGAAAAAAGTGGGCTTCCAAAGTGGTCTCTTTAAAGAAGAATCTTGTCTGCTGCTAGTTTGTGAAATTACTGCTGATTGGTGCTGATGATGCGTGTAAAGCATTCAATGAATATTGCCGGATAAGTGTGGCTACACACTAGTTGGACATACATGCGATTGAACAACGGCAAACGAAGGAACCTAATTGAAAATTGTCTACGTAAATTATATGACAAAATATAACCTTTACCAGAGAGGCGTGACTGGCGTTTCTGCATAATAGTACAACAACTTGCTCTCTTTTGAGTTTAACTCAGCCCCTCTCGCTACGATGAGTGCCCCTTAATTACACGTGGGAAGAAAGGTTGCAATTAAAGCACTTCATAAAGAATCTGTCATACACCCCTCCATTACCCCAATTCTTTAGCCCTTGTGGTCGTGTGCCGTTTTATAGTTCGCAGTTAGTGTACTTTTAAAGGCATACACAGTAAGAAGGTTGAATATAAATCACGGTATACTCATCAAAACACCCTCGAAACTGGTCCATTCAACAGTGACACACCTCCGTCAGTCATGGCTGTTGTAGGGTACAGAGGAGACGGAGAGGAATAAGCTCTTTCGAAGCTGGGCCATTATGTAGCGAATAAGTCTCTCTGAATGTGTGTGTGCCATTCAGACTCCTCTGTATGTTCGGTTAAATGCAGTAAGCTCGAATTTGGGTGTTTTTCGCATTGGCGTGGCTGGTCATCACGCTATCTAGTGCTTTACTGAACCCTTTGAATCGTCTGGGACACATTTTATCCCCACAGCTCTTGGAGCCTCGACTTTGTAGCGAAGCGACCACGATATACATAAAACCGAGCAACTTGGTGAACTCAGTTGTTTGGAGTTCATCCAACTTCTCTCGCATTAAATTACACGTTCCGATGAGGGATACGTTTACAGATGTGGTGTTTTTTGCTCGAAATTTGTTAACCTGGATGGCTACTGATCAGATGACATTAGGTCTGTTCGCAGAGTTTTGCAAGATAGTTGCAAATGTTTAATCACAATGCGAATGGACGCCATCAATGCGCGGTTGGTTAGGTGATGTCTCCATATTTGGTTACTCCTATATACATTCCAAAGAGTAGTTAATATTCCTTATTTGAGCGGTGGCTTGGGGTCACCTGACACCTAATTTGATTGGTCTTTTCGCGATTTGTGTTGCTTCATGGTTTGCCTTAACCGGAATGCAGCTGCAGACAGAAACCTCCAACTAAAAACATCTGAAGTTCGAACCTCCAAATGGAGGAAGACTCACTAAGGGGTAAGGCTTGTCCGTCGAATGCTTTGGTTTATCTGTTCTTACCAACAGAAGTTACCTATGTGCAAACATAGTTCGGTGTCTGATTTCACCATAAATATCTATGGTTCAGAGAATTTGATAGATTGAATATGATACCAGTAATATCAGTATTGTAATATTTGCCCGTTCTCATTTTCGGCGTAAAACTGATTCCCAAAAGCAAATTCTTACGTCTTTTTCAGTGGTTTTGGTGTTATTCAGAGGTTGTGATCTCGTGTCCCTGGACCCAGAGGCGGGTGAGTGGTTGGGTTGTACACTTACTGGCCGGAAGTTTCGTGATTCTAGCCTAACCACGGCGTGTGGACTGCTCTTGTCTGGGACTGAGTAGCCTAGCATTGTCCCAGCCCTCGTGCTTTCTTCGGGTGGCATGTCAGGTAGGCAACGAAGATATGTTACAGCTGAATGATTGTGTCTTTCTAGAATGAGCTGTGTGCATCCATAGTAAGCACTGCCTCCCAAAAAGTGCGACCTTTCTGATGTGGATTCTTTGGCACTGGATGGCTTTCAGTAAGTCTGTTCATTATGATTGTGTCTTTCTAGAATGAGTTGTGTGCACCCATAGTAAGCACTGCCTACCAAAATGTGCGACCTTTCTGATGTGGATTCTTTGGCACTGGATGGCTTTCAGTAAGTCTGTTCATTATTTAGTTTATCTATTCATCAACCACCATATGGACCACCCGCTTATCTTTTTTCTTGCATCTGCTCTAAGGGGAACCGAATGCACCAAGTAATCCACTTTCCTGAACCTGGAGTTGTTTTTTGTTGACAGACATCTCCATTAGCACAGGACAAGCTGTCTGAGGCTTTTGGAAGTTTTGCCTGGTTGCAAAGACATCTGAAATCCCTCTATCTGTCATTTTCCATAAGAATGCTACTATCTTTCGCTTCGAATTCTGCGCTAGGACTCATCCTCAGGGCTAAGCACTTTGCCTCACGTAGACTCGTTCAAACGCCAAAGATGGACATTAAAAGTACTTAATCTCACAAACAACGTTCTGAGGACATTGCTAGATAGTGTAAGGGGACTTGGTAGATCTGAAACCCAGAGGTAGAGGCATATATACTACGTCGGGTGGTAAGGTCAGCGGATTCCCTTTTATGGGAGAAGTGCTCTTCAGAAGCTCAGCTGCTCGGAATGCTTGCAGTTCGTCACACTTATTCCTCCTTTATAATGGATGCGTGATTCGCCACATCTCTGTCCATTGGATTGACAGGTGATTCTACCAAGGCCACCATTGAGACCCCTCGTGACTTCCATGTTTGGCCGGACAGTGATATCGCCCATACACTTGAAGAGGTCTACTCTTAGTTATTAGACGGATGAACTGAATTCGGTAGGTCTTGGAATTAGTGGTTGGGGTCCATTCCTGACCTGACCTTTTCGCTCATTATATGGGCAACTGTTCTCCCTGAGAAATTCCCGTAGATTCAGAATTACCGAATGTAAGGGATCAGATGTTATGAGCCACTTCCTAAGTCATACCCCCGCCTCCTTAGTCTGTTCGCTCTGCGTTTTATGACGTTGTAAACTGGCGAGACCCAAACTGCGCGGATTTTGCTGGACAGTTTGAGTGCTGTATGCTTCGTAAATGTCTGAAGTAGAATCTGCAGGACTAGGTCACCAAGGCGGGTTCTTCCCAATGATCTTTGTCGCTCATATTACAGAGGGTTGACCGGTCTGGTCCAGCGGTTCTTTTAAAACCCGACAGTAAATAGCACAACACTAGGTTTAAACACTTTGGGCCCAGTAAACGACCAAAATTCAGCATTCTGTCTCACCAGACAAAGCTGTAGCTGTCATAACCAACATGTCTGCTGCAGTCCGGACAAAAAGGAACCTGGTCTGCTAGATTCACCGAAAGTCACGCACATCTTAAAGTGTATTGGAGGTGTTATGTACACTGACCAATGTTCACAGCAAAAGGTCAGCACGCATGTTAGCACCTAACATTTCAAATAGTCATCCTGTTGGTTAGTATTGGTTTAAAAGTACAAAACCCGAATCCCTCTCTGAATAGCCGATGGCCATAATCCAAGGGAAAAGTGTTGAGTCATGTTTTAAAACTGATAACTAGATCGTTGGTATGCGGACTTAAGCACGTGGAATGCGTATCACAGCCTGGTTACATTTGTGCTTTGTGGATCGACAGATCGAATTCCGTCTCTCTGTAGTAGAGGTGTGAACTAATGAAACCATAAAGCTGCTCATCCTTGATCTCAACGTGAGATAAGCGGTGACAGCTGACAAACGATTAAGTGCGCCTTAAAATTTGGCGTAAATTAAGAAACCTGCGGACCAAGGTAATCTATCGTCCCACATATTTTTGTGAAGAAAACTACTCATAGGGTTGCTTAGGTCTCCTCGACAACCCACGACCTGTTTTGCCCTTCTTGATGCTCATCAGGTAAGCGCAGTCCCCGAATTTCCGCCAATGTTATGTTCCACCTGAACTCAGTTTGCAGCTACAAAAACCAAATCTGTATACGGATGGGTGTACTTGTCGAATCGAGCGTATTGTTTGGATCTTTAACTGAGATAACGCTCGTCAGCCTCGACTGGAGTCGCCAATGTAGATTCAGATGAAGAAAGCCAGCAATGATCCTGTGAGAGATTGTAACTGAATATCAGGTTTAACTCTTGCGACGAACACTCTGCTCCTTCATCTACTGGTCTCCATCGTGTCAGCGATCTCAATTCTGGCGGTAAAACCACGGCGACATGGGCTTAGTGTACACAGGTATGCCGCGGCAGGATCAGCCTCCTGAGCTATCACCACTGTACTCTGTATGTGCCCATAGTTTGAGATACGTTTGTTCTCATCAGCAGCTGTCGAACACCATTATCACCTTAAGATGAAAAGACAATCATAATCAGTCAGCTGTAACATCCTTCCGGTGCCTAGCTGCCATGCCACCCAAAAGAAGTACGAGGACTGGGATACTGCAGGTTGCTCAAGCCTAGACAGGGGAAGTTGGGAGGCAGAGGTCGGGTTCGAACGACGGACTTTCCAATCAGTACATTTGCGCCCTAACCACTGACTCATCTTGCCCTAAACGGNAACCTCGAATACCATCAATATAAACTCTGTCTTCTAGCCGGAGTAATAATCAGCTACCCTGTAATGGTCATGCTGCTAACCCAGTGTTCACCGCGTTCTTCCTGCGAGTTATGGCATGGAGACATTGTTTCCTTTCATTGGAGGGGAGTTGCGCTGCTTCCTCACGACATTTTTGAGCTGGAGTTCCCTTACCCTTTGTATTCACAGTGTAAAAAGTGATTACTATCGAAACCATCCCTCCCTCCCTTGAGTTATCCGGAAGGAAGTATCCTACAAATATAAAGTACTTTGACAAACACACTCATTTGCATATCAATTTGGTTTGGACGGAAGACTTAATTGAATATCTCGTTTATGATGTTCTCCAACTGAATGTTCCGCACAAAGGCTGCTTCATGTTTTAGTTGGTACGACATTCGAGATATCGCAGCATCTTTTCAAGAAGGAAGCTACTCACAAGGTTGCTGAAAACCTCTCGACAGCCCACGACCCGTTTTACCCTTCTTTGGGTTCATAATCGAAATCTGCCTACTTTGAGTTCAAGTAGAACATGAGGTTAACGGAAACTCGGAAACTGCACCTACCTGATGAGCCCCAAGAAAGGGGGTGTTGGGGCGTTTTTAGTAACCTTGTGACTAGTTTTCTCTATGAAGATATACTGCAATATCTCCAGTGTCGTAAAAAATGAGGCGGCTTTTGTGCAATGCATTCAGTTGAAGAATATCGTGAACGAGAGATTCCGTTGAGTCCCTAGTGGAAATCAAACTGGTGATTCTGTGAACGCTAGTCACAGGTAATTCTTTCTCCTAAACACCACTCCTCCCATTGGAACAGCGATTGCTTTCCATCCCATTCAACGGATCCTCTGTAAGCAAACAAACTCTAAACTGTAAATTTTTGGTGGCAAATTGGCGTAGAACGAAAGCTGAATTGAACACCATTGATCCGATTTGTACTTTTCATCTGGGGAGATAACTTGGTTTTTCAAGGATTTGATTATCAGGTAAGAAATCCGTATCTGTGAGGACAAAGGAAAATGGACCTCGTGGGAGGACGTAAAGCTAGCCTTTCTGCTTGAATGCAGATAGCATCAAACCTGCTGAGCACGATAAACTAAAAGCGATTGACACCTGATGGGAATCACTGATGCGTAGGTGGTACCACTGATCTATGTAGGCCATGTCCTATAATGGATTACGCCTCATTTCCGGAACTGTCACTTCCCCGAATCGTGTTCAGCTTGTTTTACAAAAGACAGGGGGTCCTCGGACAAACGATTAAGATGAGATTGATGATAGGAGAGAGAGACTGTGACACGCCGAACCTATCTCATTTCATTGTAAGGTTAGCCGAAAATGTGGTCATTTTTTTACGCTGTCTCTAACTAACATTGTTATGTTTCCTGAGAATTTTTGTGTCAGCTTCAGTCGGCCTAATCAAAATGTCATGCATCTCCCCCTCCCCGACGAAGAAGCCATTGCAGTGGATTATCAGGTTGACGTAGCAACAATCGAACCGAATTTGCTAACCGGAAGGAAAAGTTCGAACTATTTCGACTAATCAGCGCACAAATTTCCTCATTGTGCGCAGAGTAGGTTTCATATTTTCGAGAACAGTACTCACGCACGGTCAAGACTAACGACATCCGAACGCGAGTGATGTGCTCACAAGCACGATACGGTTGGCTGAGTGCCGTTGACACCCACTTCCTTTGAAACCATATCAGTCCTCTTCCTGTCTCGCCACAATTAGTTTAAACAGGAGAATCATCGTACCCGAGTTTCGCTTCCAGCAGTACAGTTCCTTGGCCATGTTGGAATTTGAACATCGGACGCCTGCCATGGAGATAAATGTGGTTTTCCACTACTGCATCAGTGCATACTGTGCGTACTAGCTGAAATGTCCGGTGGCGATCGCTGGACTATTTGTGGAATTCACTATGCAGTAAAGTGTCTGACCCCATTCCTACTCCAAGAAGCATCCTCGGTGATCATGACCCTACCTGTAAATTACAGACAACGGGGCCAGGTGGCCCCAACAGCCAACTGAACTGTACACCGGTTTGGATATTGCCGCTACCGTAACCGGATGGTACACCGGTCCTGGATGCTAAATCATTTCCTTCGACAAAAACGGCCTACTATATGAACTCGCCATTTTAGAGTAAACTCTGTTCGTAGCCACGCATTTTTACAAGTTCAGTTCTCAATCGGTTACAGCGGTAAAAATGCAGTCATCCGCAGGCAAAAAGTGAAATGCCGTATTCTGTGCTGAACTCGTTCTTGAGTCACTGGATTGGCCAGAAAACAATGGCATTTCCAAATGGCATGCATACATTTCAAAATCAGAACGGTTGTCATGCGCGTATTATTGCGAATTGTCCTTCTGGCAGTATATCGGTCCTCTTTAATCTATAATAGTAGTTCTCCT